TATATTGTTGTATTAGCTGTCCTTACCCGGCGTTGCCAGGGTATTACCGATGTCTAGCTATTTTTAACTATATTGTTGTATTAGCTGTCCTTACCCGGCGTTGCCAGGGTATTACCGATGTCTAGCTATTTTTAAACAAAAAAGATCAAAATTTCGCTTTTTATGTAACAATACATGTCAAATGGTCATATTTCTGTGAGATAAATAGCTTAAGAGTGTAAAAATTAAAGAAAATAAATGAAATCATAGGTTTATTGTATAGTTCACCTCCCACCCCTTTAACAGTCATTGCGAAACCTCTGTTACTTGCTGCTTGTGATTGGCAATCATATTTGTGTTTTCTTTTTCTCGACATTTTACTCTGCGGTGAATAATTAGTATCAGAAATGTTTATCACACCTAACTCTCCTCTCCCATCCCAAAATATAGTGAAAAAAAACAATTTATTTTTACAGAATTTCAACTTGTATATTCTATATAAAAGTTAGTCTTGTTTGTCAGTAGACACGACAACATTCAGTGGGTTTTCGTTCTAACACCACAAACCTCTCTATAAAATACGCGTACATTTTCCTGACGTTATTTCCACTTAAATTAGACCAAAAATCTGGTCCTTCTTCTTCTTTGGAAAAAAATCAGATTTCAAAGTTTTCATTGACACTAAAAATTTGACGTCACAGACCCGAATAGGCTTATTTCATATTTTTATAGGCCTACTATTATAGGGGCTGAAATATGTGAAAAATTGTTTGTTTGTAATTAAGCACAAAGCTACACAATGGGCTATCTGTGCTCTGCCCACCACGGGTATCGAAACCCAGATTCTAGCGATGCGAACAAACTTAGCTTGAAAAAGTTCTGCATCATTCCTATATCCTTCTTTTTTTTTTTAAATAAAGTCAAACTTGTTTTTCTGCTGTGCGAATAACAACGACATTTATTTTTAATTTTTTTTAACAATTTGAAGATCAGAAATTTTATTTGTTCGAACACACAATCACTGAAAGAACTCTTAAATGATAAAAATGCAAAAATACTATTTTTACTAGAACTTTTGTGAACCAAAATGTTGTTTTTATTTAATGAGGCACTCAACGTTTCACTTTACAGCTTCTTCAGGAGTGTTCACTAAAACACAAACCGAAACTGACAGTACAAAGCATCAAAACGATATAAGGTCGTTTATTTCTAGCATTAATATGTCGTCTATACACCAACATGCACTACAAAAATTAGATAATAGTTTCTTTTTAAAAAATGTATAACAATAACAGTTTTATAACAGTGTGTTTTAAAAAAAAACACTTTTTTAGAACAATAAAAGTTTTGTAAAAAAAGTTTTTAACAAACATTGTACTGAATATAACTTTTCTTCAGCCCTCGATTTAACAATCACTCTCTCAACTAGCCAAACTATTCAACTTACTTTGTAATTTAAAATCAAAGGCAATATTTAGAAACTTACACAAACACAGTATTTATGTGGTTTCGACGTAAAATTAAACCTTTTATTTTACAATGTATTATTTGGAGTGTGAAATATTCCTTTATTTTTTCCCCGCATAATACCTATAATTATATTTTCCCTATGTTTATTATATCGGAGCTATCGATTTATATTCTATATTCATCTTAATTCTATGTATTTGATAACTTTAACACCAGATGTCAGTTCTTGTTACAACTGTTGCCTAGATTTATCGCTCAGACATATTTGTCGAGTGCATTGTTGCCCGATGAAGGCTGGGGTAAGAGGGGGAGAAAGCTCGCAAAAAAAAAGAAGTATTTTTAACGTAGAGAAAAGTCCATGTATAATAAAAATAATAGCCAGGTGCCCACGCTCAGAATTCCCTTAGTGTCTGTACAAAGTTTCACATTTGTAGGTTCTTTCCTCTTGGAGCTATGGCGCTGACTGACTGACTGACACACAGGCTGTTTTATTAGTATAATAAATAAGATAAAGTAGTATACTGTTGTATAAAGTAACATATTGTTGTAATGGTTTCTGTTGTTGGGTGGGTTCTTTTTTGTTATTCCAGTCCACTTTATAACATAACGTTTTGGAACAACATGGCACCTATTGGTCCATCTCAGCTGTTCCGTTTTCAACATCCGAAGACAACCCATTTCAAAGCCAACCATCCTGTTAAAAAAATAAAACTGTCTTAGGTATCAGTTTATGTAGCCACGTTATTTCATGTAAACAAGTTACAACAGTTTATGTAGCCACGTTATTTCATGTCAACAAGTTACAACAGTTCACGTTCATTTCTATGTTGACTAAAGAAAGACTGATCGATGTTTACTTTTTCTTCTAGCTATATCCATATCACAACACTCTGAGCCAGAATTAAGGTAGCTTCTGACTGACCGGTAGTTAGAGATAGGGGGCGTTGTTTCTGATACATTAATATAAAACTCAACTTGATATTAAACTATAACCGGAGAAAATACATTCAAACTGTTAAGTTGTACAATAAAGTTAGCATGTGTGTCTGATTAAATTATTACACTGGTAATTATCTAATTCTAATAACTCTTAAATAAATGACATTATTTAATGTCTCCTTAGTGACAGGAAAATGCGACAGAGGAGAAATGACAATCTTGGTCACAACGGACTTTCCTTTCCATGGCATCGTTCACATCCGGGGCTTCAGACAATCTCCTTGTGTTGCCTATGGAAACGGATTACGTAACATTACCCTGAAGTTAAGCCTATTAACAGACCACGATGACCCAAACTATTGTGGTGTTGAAAAAGGTCGAGTAAGTAAATACATATAATTTGGATTCCTCGTCATCTATTTATTTCTCACTAGAGGGCGATAACGGTGTCTACTGTAAAGCTCAAAATACATGAGAATTATACGTTGGAACCGATAGTCAGTATATATAATATATGCATATCCACCCTTATATACGGGGGCGGATTTAAGGCCAAATACCTAGTCAGGCGGGCTCTATTCATACCAATATTATACATTGAGCGAAAGCAAATAATTTCAACAGATAGCTGAATAAATTGATAAATTTAATAAATAAAATGAAATACAATAGAATTAAAGTTATTTATTTCTTGAAAGCATTATATATGTATTTATAAAGGGGCCCGTTAAATCGGCCCCTGCTTATATAAATAACAAATGCATATTCACCCTGGTATAAATAATATACGTTGATAAATGTTTAAATATTCAAGATAAGCACATTCCTTATAAAAAGAAAAAAGTGGCTGCAAATAAAAAAAACAGGTTGGCTCACAAATGGTATCAGAGATAAAAGGAGACAAGGGATAAAATCAAAGAAAAGCATCGAAAATTTAAGAAATTTAAATTGACTAGTATGACGGGAGTTTTGAAAGATTATAGCAGATCAAAAAATTGGTGAAACAAGAAATTAGGACTGGTTAATCAGGTCACTGGTTAGGCCACATTTGGAATATTATGTTCAGTGTTGGGCTTTTTACCTTAGGAAAGACATTGAATTGTTGGAAAGAGTTCAGAGGAGGGTTACAAGAATAGTGCCTGGGATGGAGGGGTTGTCATGCGAGGAGAGGTTGAAGTCCCTGAAATTGTTTTCTCTTGAGGATCTTCTTGAGGTGTTTAAAATTGTAAAGGGAATTGATAGTGTTGATGCATCATATTTTTTCATACTTAACACTGAGAATAGTAGGACTAGAGGACACAAAAATAAATTCTGGCAAGATAGGAGTCATCTTCAAACAAGTTACAACAGTTTATGTAACCACATTATTTCATGTCAACAGGTTAAAACAGTTCATGTAGCTAGGATATTTGATGTCAACAAGTTACAACAGTTTATGTAGCCACGTTATTTCATGTCAACAAGTTACAACAGTTTAGGTAGCCACGTTATTTGATGTCAACAAGTTACAACAGTTTATGTAGCCACGTTATTTCATGTCAACAAGTTACAACATGAAATAACGTGG